AGACACGTGGGTTCTGTCAGGTGATAAAATTCGACTTTCAAACCCCAGTAATCTACCAATTGAATCGGAAGGTTTAAAATTTATTGTGTGGTCGCTTTTTATTTCACTGCATAAAGTATTGTTATTGGGCTTCAAGTTAATTGCAACACCACGTTTTTGGAGAACTTTCTGCAAATAATTCTGAATATCATCAATCTCATAACTACCTGGTGGAATGATGATTGTATGCTCTTTCTCATTATCAGAGTAGTAGAATTTATTATTCTGCTCTGTGATATTTGGAATCGAATTGAATGTCAACAATTCAACGAGAGCCACTATACTATAGCGATCATTGGAAGATAATTCGATTGGGGGAAAATAGTTAGCTTCCAAAATGGAAGACGTTCCAGACAGTGTTAAAGTGAAAGATTCACCCATGGCTGTCAGATGTAAACTAACTTAATACATCAGTGTAAGCAATATTTATAACTGCCCACTGAGAAATTTGAGGCATAGATGCCCACATATGATTGTATCATAATCCTGATGCGTTTGATGATTATATTTTACAAGGCTACCAACACCGAAATAATTGAATAATTCTTTTGGATGTAAATTTCCAAAACTATTGAAATAAAGAATTGCGTTGTTTCGTTTCTTATATGCCACCCAGTGAGTGCCGGGGCCATCTCTATCATCTAAATTCACTATAGCTGATTCATTCTTCCGAGGTCCACCTATAGGCAATGCATTTCTCATATAAACTCCTCGAAAATGGGGAATTTTCATGAGTTTGGAGAACCTGATGATATCAGCATCACTGAGGGCTCGATGTGGTAGCTTTATGAGTTTTTTGGTTTCAAATGCAGTCCTAACCCTGTTTTATAGGCTTTCAGATACAATCCATTTCCCATCGCAATTTCTTCCATTGTTCGATTGTGACGTTTACTCTCCTCTAGGTATTGCTTAGCTGCTTTCGCATCGTTCACAGCTTTTGCGATACCTGCGGCGCCTCCGGCTAAAGCTCCCGTGGCACTTAATCCAGCAAATAAGGGAATCAAGAAAGGTAGCACTCCACCAATTTTCCCGGGAACTGATAATATTCTTGGTGACTTTACGGAACGCTTTCCTCCAGCTTTTCGGACAGCATCTCGTGCAGCCTGAAGAGCCGATTTGATTGCATCCCCAGGGCGCATTGATTGTTTCGCTGCTCGGATGACTGCTCTGAGAGCCACTTGTTTTTTTGCAGCACCACGGCCACATGTTTTCTTTTTTTTCACGAGACTTTTTCCGCGCTTTGTAGTTTTCCTCCCCACTCTTTTCGTCAATCCAAATCCTAAGCTAGTCTTGGCCTTCATAGCATTGGCCACTCCCCAAGCAGTACCTTTCTCACTTCGACTTGCGTCTTTTGATAATACACGTCTCCACGCACTCTGTTCTAAGGTCTTATCAGCGTTATGTCTAGCTGAAAGATTCTCACGATTTTTTGAGTAGGCGATATCGTGCTCTTTGCACGCTTTATCGAGTGGATTAATTCCAGGATCACCGCGAGCTAACCTCTCTGACAGTTTTGTACCCGGCCCACAATATTGATAACCAGGGATATGTAATTCGATAGGTAATTTGTTGATTATCTTATTGAACACCCCTTTACCACTCCTCTTACACCCTCTCACCATCATAGCTCATCCTCGACTGAATAAGAATGGTATATATACCCGCTATTTATACGTTCTGCCTGCAGTACAGTGAGAGAACTCATAAGTGATACTTATCAATTATGAAGTTCACAGAACAGGATATCAAATTACCCATTTTGAATTTCGATGAGGTAGTACAAAATGCGGATGATAAAATTAAAGATAAACGTCATGGGAAATTGTTACCAAACACAGTGCGCGCCATTTTTTGTGGACCCTCCAACTGCGGTAAAACAAACGCGTTATTGGCTCTCATCACACATCCGAATGGCTTGAGATTTGAAAATGTTTATGTGTATTCAAAATCATTGAATCAACCAAAATATGAGTTCTTGAAAAACGTTCTTGAAGCAATAAACACAATCGGATATTTTCCGTTCAACGAGCATGAAGAGGTGATAAAACCGGAAGATGCGCATCCTAATTCTATTTTCATTTTTGATGATGTCGCATGCGAAAGACAAGATAATATGCGTGCATTTTTTTGTATGGGACGACACCGAGACGTTGATTGTTTCTATCTTTGTCAGACATATACGCGTATCCCTAAACATCTTGTACGTGATAATGCAAATTTGATGATTTTATTCAAACAGGATGATTAGAATTTGCGACATATCTATGAAGATCATGTTAATACTGATATGACCTATAACCAATTCAAGGACATATGTTCCTCATGTTGGAATATTGATAGGTATAGCTTCCTCGTGATTGATAAAGATAGAGAACTCAATGATGGTCGCTATAGGAGAGGATTCGATTGTTTTATAAATATACAATGCGTATAGTTTCTCTGGGCAGTTGCATCCAGAGCTTCACCATGGCAAGTTCTATTTTGAATAAAGAGAAACATGTCTTACAACAAATTGCGGAGGCGAGTGAAGCAATTCGTGAGAAGCATAAGCTGATGAAATTGGGGAAGGAAAATACAGAAAGAACTCTGAATGAAGTTTTCAAACCAGTGGTTACACCATTACAAAAAATTGCAGATCAGGCTGTTTATGCTACAATTCTGAGGAAAATAAAGAAATCTCTCGAATCATCAACTCCACGAAAACGTGCTGCAGAAACTGTTGATTCTAAAATCCCGATAAAGATCCAACGAATGGAGGAAATGTATGATTCAGAAATTTCGGAAAAATTACCTTCAGACTCAGAGTTGGGCATGACTACTACAACATTATCATTTCCTGCCATGGAAATTGATAATACTTATCATGAAAATGATTCAGATTCTGCAGAGGATGAACATGTCCATAATTTATCTAAAGAATATACACAATTATTTGATACTTTCAATGGGATGGCAGCATTGGACTTGAAGACCGGGATCCGCAAATATAAAGGTGATTGGGTGCTTGGAACAACACCTGTCAAGTTTGAAGGTGTTAAGGAATGTTAATTGGGGGTGAAAAGTATGATCAAACTCCCGGACTTCTCGAAATATTATTCAAAAAAAAACCCAATGTAGAGAAAATTACAGAGTGTGACAAGAAAGCATACTCAAAAATTGTGAAGATGACACATCTCGATAAGAAGTATTTCAATCCAACGAAAGGTTTGAGGCGACATAATCGAGAGAAGTTTGTGAATTTCATGAAAAAGGCTCCCTATGGAAACGGATTATCAAATCAAATGATTGCAAAAAGGAAGCGTAATATTGATTATGTGTACTGGGATGATCCAAATGAGCTAGTGAAGCGTCTCCAACTGTTATGCGCATCACAGACAGCTGGTAATAATAATCATAATAATGAAATAATCTCAATAATCGAGGAACTGCGTGAAGCTGGATTGATATATTAAGAGTGATTACTTCACCAATACATCAGTCACAAAATGAGTGTCGATGTGTTTGGACGACATTCGGATATTGCTGGATCTAAACCTCAGAATAATCAAGGACCTCCAGGACGAGGCTTCAAGCTCACGGCTAATGGACACTTTGATATAAAGAATAAACGGTTATGCAACATTGGTGATGCGGTAGAAGACACTGATGCAGTTTTTTTGAGAGTTCTCAAGCGAGTAATTGAGGATTTACAACTCAGCCCACTACAAAAACTCATGACAGAAACTCTGGAAGTCATTCATGCACTAGATGGAAGACTGAAAACATTGGAGGATCCAGATAAATATTATTATTCAGCTGAATTGAACCGAGTTGATAATATAAACCAGATACCAGAAAGTGAAAGGAGGGTGAAACGTGTTAAGAGAAGTTCCAAAACATTAAATAACGATGAAAAAGCTACTAAAAAAAGAAAGGTTTCAGATGGAGAAGGAAGCTCTAGTTGAAGAACTCCATAGACCTGCACGCAGAAATTACCCCAGACGTCACGTAGAAATGCGAGGTCTCAACGAAACTTGGCAAGCCGATCTTGTGGATATGTCCATTTATGTTAAGGAAAATAATGGACATAAATTCTTATTAACAGTTATTGACATTTTCTCCAAATTTGCGTGGGTCGTACCAATCAAAACAAAGAGTGGTTCTGACGTAACGAAAGCTATGGAATTTGTACTCAAACAAGCTCAGACCCCCCAAAAGCTACATGTCGATCAAGGAAAAGAATTCTATAACAAAGAATTTCAAAGTCTTATGCAGAAATTTGATATAAAAATGTATTCGATTTTCAGTAATTTGAAAGCATCGATTTGTGAGCGATTTAACTGCACATTGAAAGAGAGAATGTGGAAAAAATTCTCTCTTCAAGGATCTTACAGATGGTTAGAGATACTTCCCGAAATCATATCATCTTACAATGATACAAGACATCGAACAATTCGAATGAAACCAAAGGATGTGAACAGTACCAATGAAAAGTTCATTCTCCATCGGGCTTATGGAAAATTCTTCGATAATGGAGTGAAAAAAAGAAATTTAGAATTAATGATAAAGTGAGAGTTAGCAAATATAAACATGTTTTTGAAAAAGGTTATACGCCTAATTGGACAACTGAGATTGTCAAAATCAGTAGCGTGAGAAGAACAAATCCAACTACATATAAATTGGTTGATTATCAGGACAATCCAATTGAAGGTAGTTTCTATGAGGAGGAATTAACTAAAGTGAAACATCCAGATGTCTATCTTATCGAAAAAATGATTAGAAAACAAGGAAATAAACTATATGTAAAATGGTTAGGCTTCGATAATTCTCATAATAGTTGGATCAATATTTCTGATGTATAGAGTATATATATATTTTTTTGTTGAGTGATAATAAAAATTTAAAAAAAAAACAAAATTTTTTGTTTTCAACATTTTATTTTTTTGTTTTTCACCTTAATTTCTAGGAATACAATTAAAAAATTATACAAGTGGCTTGATATATCCCCAAGGGAGAGTATCTGTCGTATGAGAAGAAATCATACGCTTATCATCTTCCCAACTCAATACTAATTTCTTCTGGCTGATTGTATGCACCTCATGTTTTTTACTCTGTATCAAATACTGATTCCTGATGATGTGTTCATTATTGAGGAGACAATTTTTATAATCTTCAAATGTAATCTTCCTCAGTGTAGCCGCGTTAACACCTTTAGCTTTCTTCTTGGCTTTATCATCATCCAACATTTTAAACGAATATGTTTTAGCTCGCAATCCTACGAATTCCACCATGATCCGCCCATTGTTCTCATCCTTCATGAGACCCAACACTTTCTTGTTCGCTAGTGGGATTCCAAATTCATTATTCTCTCTGTAGTCAGATGTATCAAACATTTGTATGTCTTGTTTGATACAATCATAGATATTTGGGACTCGAAACAAATACAGCAAACTATCCGTATCAGTGTACATCAATTTGGCATGATCTCCAAATTTGGATTTCACATAGTTGTAATGAAAGTCATACACAATCGTTTTTGATACATCGAGGATTGTAAAACCAATGTAGATGGGTTTCTTGAAATATACTGATGTTCGATTCATTTCAATGATCACCATATCTTCATCAAAGACACTGCAACTGTGAAAATTCGGTTTTGCAATGAGCGCTTTCGCACCATATCGTCCATCCCAGTGTGTGACGAGTCTCACATCCTTCTGGTTCCTGACATTTTCCATCGTTTTTCCGAAAACAGCATTGTTCATCAATTTGTAGAAGTTTTTCTCAAATTCATTCGATGATTGTTTCCTTTTATCTGTATTCAAATCGATGTAAGATTTAAGCCAGAGTTTTTGATTGAATTTTAAATTACTGTGGATGCTTTTCAATTTCATTCCAAGATTCATGTATTGTTTCAAATTCCGGTAATGTATCACATATTTTTCCTTCGGGAAGAGAGTGGTCGCTAATTTTGTATGTTTGCTCTGTGGAGGGGTGAAATGCTCAGGACAAAGCGGAAAATCTTTGTGTTGTTCGTGTAATTCTTGAGGGTACTCCAAATCAATTTCGAGGATATACCCAACTGGAGAATCATCTGGAACATTCAGGATATCCACAGAATTACTATCAACCCATTCAAATGAATCACATGGCAAACTGACGCTCATAGCAGCCCCATAAAAGTTATTAACATCAAAATACATCAAATAAGATGTTTCAGAGGATGCATCATATAATTTTCCCATGAATGGATTATTTACCTGAGCGTATCTGTTTGCACATTGTGAAACTCCACCCCTAATACCTTTTTCTATGAATAAAATCATTTCAGAATCAGTGAGAAGCTCTAAATTTACTTTCGTATGTTTGAGCATAGCATCGAAAGCTAATCCTGGTGCTGTATAGTAATGGAGTGGATCGAGTTCATAAGTGGAAAAACAATTAGCACGAAAATTCTCAAAAATATCAGCTAATAATAAAACATCTGTTTGCAAATAAAGATCCGAATACTCCCCCAATGTGCTGATATTGAATGCATTCCACACATTAACTGCATGCTCATAATCTTCATCAGCTATGTGTTGATCCGTCAATTTTGAATAGAAATCTTCTTTCCTTGGTAATTCAGCCTCATCTAATTTATTCCAATCATCGATGAACTCATAGGGGAATACACCTTTTCTACACAACAAATTGAATCTTGTTGAATCAGATTGATATTTTCTGATGATTATTTTGTGATCATTATCAAGATAACTCGCTAATTTTTCGAGACTACTTCCCATAAATCGGAATGAATCAATGAAGCGTAACTTAATGCAAGTGTTGGCAACATATTTAGTGAAAGAGATGTATCGATCTTTATTCACCGGTGGAATTTTCACATCACCTTCGAATGATGTTGCGATACTTCGAATGATGAAATGAGCGTCATAACCGGAGAGATTGTGAAATACAATCGGAATTGTGTGAGAATCTCGATAAAGCAAATTGCAACTGTTATGCGCAGCTCCACGATATTTTCCTGTTAAATGGTTGTGATCACGCACTTTATCATTGTTGGTCAAAAATTTTTTGCAAATATGACACACCGTTGCAGATTGGAAATCGTCCATTTGTTTATCTGACAATGTCTCCATCTGGTGATTCTTCTTCAAATGTGTATCAACGTTATTTGCCAACAACTTCATCTCTCTCGTAAACCATTCAATACAATGTATTGTATACGAGATCCTCGTCGAATTTCGGATCTGGATAACGAATCATCAAAAGAACATTTCACATAAAAAGCTGCACTATGAGGAATATGATGATCATCATCTGTGGAGTCTATAATACATTCTAAGTCTGCGTAAACAGCAAATGGAACTGGCTCAGCGTATTTGAAATTTTTCAAATTGAGGATTTATCTTTCTCTTGAGGTATTACCATTCGTACTTTATTCAAGTTTGCACAATCCTCCTTGTGTTTCGCAAATGAATGCTGATATCTAAAGTGGCAGAGACACCTATCGCATAACCATGTGAAACTTTGGCTTTTAGAAATTTGAGAACTAACCAAACGCGATATATTGCGAATCTGCTTCATCCTGATTACTCTCAACCATTAGCAGGTGGATTGCTTCACGATTGGTGATTCTTTTCGTTAGATAAACAGGGAAGACTGTATGACTACGACCACACTGTTCAAGTCCATATACATTAATGCTTAGATCATTCATTTCTTCAAATTTAGGAATACATTTGAGCGTCATTGGAAAATGGAGGCCTTCATACTTCAGTACATTACGAAAATGGGGGTATGAAGTTGTTCGATCCACATGAACGGTTTTTGGATGAAGAGCTGCTGTAATCGCCCACAAAAAACAAAATTGATCATCATTTTTTATATTTATGACAGCTTTTTTGGCTTGAATATCCTTAGGTAGCTGAATGAATGTTGAGGCTCCACCTTTCAGAGGCTCGTATTTATTGATATTAATCATCAAATTGATGATTTCCGTCAATGTCCAACCAGAGCCGCTTTCTTGGAAGTCTTCCTGCTTCGTAATGACATTATCAATGACAAATTCTTTGAACCAATCATTCAAATCGGTTGCTAGAAGGATCACTTCATTTTTCGTAATAAAGTGTTTCGTTTCTTCCTGAATTTCATCTGCTCGTACAATCGAGAATTTGCATGAGAGTACACAATTAACTCTCAAACTACTCTCCTCAGCTAAAATATCCTTCAAATGTGAAATGACCAGCACCTTACAATCTCGCAGGAATGATCTCGTGTCTTTGTGAGTCAAATTAATAACCACCCCTGTTCGGATACGATCTCGGAATGCTGATTGTAGATCCTTCCATTGCACACGGCTTGAAATCTTCTGCACTGATTTTTTTCTTTTTATTTCACCACCATGTTTGAGATGTAGCTTAAAAGCTTTCCTGAACCATAATAATTCTGCAATGGTTGCTTGAATCCCACTTTTTTCACCACTAGAATCAACCCTCTTGGAATACTTATGTAAAAGTTTAATGTTCTTCTCTGTTAGGTTCTTTAAATTTTCAGTCTGATCAGGTGGAGTGTGAGGAAGCATACGATATGCTTCTCTCAAGACTCGTAATAACTTTTTCCTCTGGTCATCCATTCTGAGCGAGAGTTAATGAGCCAGTGAGCCGCTTCAAGCTGTTTTCAACCTTAATATACCCTCGGAAATGAGTCATTTCTCTGATGATTCATCACTAAAACATCCTATATATAGAGGGGATCTCTCTAGATGGTTATAGAGTCTTCTCGAAAATTCTAGAATATGATGATGTCATCGTTTTGATAAGACATGAGCTATTCCTCTCGATGATTCATCGCCAAAGAATCCTCAAGGTAACACGAGAATTCTCTAGATGGTGCTAGAGTCTTCTCGAAAATTCTAGAATATGATGAAGTCATAGTTTTGATAGGACATGAGCCATTCCTCTTGATGATTCATCACCAAAGAATCCTCAAGGTAACTCGAGAATTCTCTAGATGGCGCTAAAGTCTTCTCGAAAATTCTAGAATGTGATGATGTAATCGTGTGATAAGAATAGCACATATAAACCCGTAGAAAGATTTGGAGATCAGTTCATCGCTCACTCGCAAAGTATACAGTTGAAAAATGAAATTCCAGTATCTTGGCGAGGGGACGTGTTTNGATCAGTTCATCGCTCACTCGTAAAGTATACAGTTGAAAAATGAAATTCCAGTATCTTAGCGAGGGGACGTGTTTCAAGTTTATGAAAATCTGAAGCAGAAATCGATCAATTCTCCGACATGTTCACACTTACAATAAAACGTAAATCTTTGTAATGAAATTTGATGATGTTTCCGTTTGCACATCCCTTCCCAACAAATTATCCCCTCCATGAAATGATGAAAAAAGTATTGAGTGCATTCGTAATTTCATAATACTTACTATTATTATGTTGATGGGGAGAATTCTTTAAAAACGCCTGATCATAATTTTTTTCTCAATTTGTTCAATTCTTAATGAGAGAAAAATGTAAGATATTCATATACATTACAGTTCCAGATACTACAGAAATTGAAACATCAAAAAAAAAATTGAGTTCCGAGGATTTGAACTTATGAATCTTCCCCCTCCCACAAGCAAGCTCGATAGCGTTGTACTATTGAAGCTTAGGCTAATGTCAAAAGAGAATTAACATGAGACTACTCCTGCTTCCATTAAATTATGACATTACTATATTATTATTAGCCATTAAATAATGACGAGAAGGAAAAATAATAATAATAATAATAATAATCAGCATGGAAGTTATCACTCATTAATTTTTTCTGGGTTCTGGACTCTACTATTATTTTTAACCAACTTCTGCAAGAAAGAAATGAAGAGAAAATTCATTTGATTTGATTCACATTTGGATATGTGCAAATGTTAAATCTCACCAAGAAAGAATAAAAAAATGAATATATATATATATATGCGTCAGACTCGAATTCTGAACCTTTCATTTCATAAGTCGACTCCCTGGTGCTGAGCTATCATGGCTTCAGTATAGTGAGTGCTTCAATCATCAATATGATTCACATCCTACTTTACCTACAGCTAGATCTTAATTAAAAATTGAATTTATATTATAATTTACAACTTTCTTCCAGTTTGCCATTCGTGTTATTGAAGTTATAATGGATTTATAGGAGGGGTGGGTCCAAAAATAAAAAAAGAAAAAATTTCTGAGAAATTTATGTTTTAGATTTTTTATTGATAATGGTAGTAAAAAAATACAAAGAGTTTGAAAAAATATGAAAAAAATACATGATGAAAAATATAAATTCAAAATAAAGTTTCTTTAATTAACAGGAGGTAGTTTCCTTCTTTATCCTCCTCTCATGCACATCCTCGTTTTCAGATCGCTCGTTAAGGTAGTTTCCTTCTTTATCCTCCTCTTTCTCTCATCTCCATTTTTCAAATTGTTCGTTGGACATCTGGCCTGTAACAAAAAATAAGGAGAAAAATAACGATGAGTCTCTTTTATGAGCAAAACAAATAGAGAATTGAAAGAAAAATGATTAAGGATATGTTGGGGCTCTAGTTGCTGTTCTTTCTTCAAAAACTATAAATTATTATACCTGTTAGAAATGGAAGTGAACCCACTCCTTAGTCCTACACAGCATCAATTTCTCCTCACCAGTACGCTCCCAACAGATCTCCCTTATTTATAAAATCAAATAAATAACAAAAAAATTTTTAGAAAGATAGAAATTTTGTGTTTTGTTGGATGAGTACATATCACATTGGAATTATACCTTTGCATGAGATCCCCCACTCCTCATCATCGCTCCCTCCCACTTCTCCATATAACTGCAGTGGCTCGTTGTCAACCTCTGAACCACACATATCCCCTCCCTCCTCTTCTACCTCCATCACCATTCCGTCCTCAGCCTCGATGCTTGAGATGTTTTGTTCCTCACCCCCCTCCTCTCCTTCTTCCGGTACCCCAACCGGGGACTGCATGCTCTTCACTTCCGATACATATTCTCCCTCTTCCAAAACCTCTCTCCAATCATCCACAGCTGTAGGGCGATGATCAATCGAGCTTGTTTCAACTTCCCCCAAATTCAGCTCCCCCAAATCCATTTCTTCTACCTTGAGCTCTGATACTAATGTCGACCCCCCACCCAAATCACTCCCAAAAAATTCTCCCTCAGCGATTTCCGCTGCACGATTTTCCTCATAATCATCACGCGAGTTGAAAATGGTTTCATCATCACTCTCATCCTTGTCCTTCTTGACAGGTACTCCAGTCGGGGGATTGAACGAATAAACAATAGTTTCAGCATCACTGTCGATGCTCTCATTTTCTTCCTTGATTTCCGCCTTTACCACTCCTCCAGCTTCATTCTCCATTTCAATAACCATACTCTCATCAATCATCAGCTTACCGTCGTCGTCATCATCATCATCATGATCATCATCAGTATTGTGAGCAATTTCCACATCATCATCATGATCATCATCGTTATCAGTATTTTCCATATCATCACCACTTCCACTTTCCTCAGTCAAAAACTAATATTCCCAAGCGGAATGGGTGATTCTTCGTGTCCTGATTCCACAGGCTGTGAAGTATAAAACAACATCAAAATCTTGCCAATGCTGAAGAATGATGTGTTTGAGTGCTGCAGCAATGATTTTGGTACTGGGGTCTGTCAACCATGCGTTGGGGCACCGAACATTGAATCGTCTTCCGAATTTTGAATGCATAAAACACATAAATCCATGATTTTCCACACTTCTCATTTTTAATGATAAAACACAAGAAATAGGGATATCAATATTCACTTAACAAAAACCCTTCTTATTAAACGTAGGTGAACTTTTTAGATCGATGTCGAAGAGTGAACTGAATTGCGTATTAATGAATCGGGGCCCTATATATTCATCATCAATGTTTATAATTTGGGTGTAAGAGAGAACCCAAAGGTAAAACATAAACCCTCTCGATCTGACTTATGGGGTTCAATAGGAAGTGAACATTCCCGATGGTTCTCGACAGTCATTAAATGAAGTGACATAGAAAAAAATCTGAGAATTTAGCATGATTCTTTCTCGCCTTTGTAGGATTCAATTACTCCGATAAGATGAATAACGAAAATATTTCGATGAGAGAATTGGGAGGGAACCTGGGGAGACTTCCTTTGAGAGTGTCAAATTACAATGATAATGAGAACCGTTACCTCTGACTCAGAGCATAGAAATGTTTTTTCAATTCTCAGATTTTTTTGGGCACTCAATTTTATTTGAAAAATGGATTTGAAAATTCCTATGATTTTTCAGTTTATGTAAGGATAAGATCATTATGTTTGGGTGATGACTGTGAACATATGTGGGTATATATATATTTTTTTAAATAACATGATGCACTGTGTTTTCTTTAACTCAATATAATTTTCTTAATTTAATAATGGTTCATTGAAGAATCACTTTCGGTAAAAATTCAGTGTTGGATGTACATCTGGTACATCTAGACAATGAATACATCTAGTTGAAAATATTCAACAAAGTCATAATGGAGTATGGTGGAGTGTGTAGCGCTCTGACTCATAATCTGCATGTTGTGGGTTCAAAACTTTTTTGATTCTTATAAATATATATATATATATATATATATATATATATATATATATATATATATATATTTTTTTTTTAAATATATATATTTTTTTTCTGTCTTACTTTTGGGGAATGATTTTATAAGAGTAAAATTGAGTAAAGGTGATGTTGAAGGAAATAGAAAATGGGGTTGGGCTCTCAAGAAATGCGGTCGCTACTTGCGTTGTCACCGCTATGTGCATATCCTGTTAAAGTCCACTACTACATTTAGTGACTGAATATAAGCTAAATGAGCTAGATGAAATTACCCTTTAGGAACAAATCATTTTTTTTATTCATATATTTGTAGATATATATGCGGTACACTCAGATAATGAATTGATCTGATTGAAAATATTTGGTGAAACCATTCTTGAGTATGGTGAAGCGTCTCGACTGATAATCTGAACGTCGTGGGTTCGAAACTCGCTTTATTCTCATCATTTTTTTTATCGCTTTGAATCATTTTTATTTTTTCGAGGATGATGGGAATATGTTGAAAGAAATTGGAACACGAAATTATGTGAGTATTTTTATTTATTTATTCAAATTGTATAAAAGACTTCTTATTCCATAATAAGGTAATAATCATCAACATCATCATATATCATATATCATTATCATGCGAGAATGATCAAATCTGATAATCGACAAACGAGACAATTTTTCACTAATGGTACAGGTCCATCCACATTATCGGTACCATGAATCGATGTTGGATGATGTTCATAGCATCGACGATACTCCTGAATTTCATCCACTTGTTTCAACCTCTCTGCTAAAGTCTCCCATAACTCATCCACATGTCGCCACGCAAATTTCAGAAGAAATCTCCTTAGAAAATAAATGTGATCTGCTGGCAACATGCTCATATCCTGTACCCACTTGAGGAAGTCAGTTCTTGGTTCTAAAGTAGAATGAAAATATTTTGTGAACCATTTCAAGAGTTTTCTACAATTTTCGAACGCACAGGTATAATTCTCAATGAGACTGTGCTTCTGGTGATTCCAGCAACGTGGGGTGGATAATTCTTTTGCTTTCCAGCTCCCCAAATCGTTCAAGTCGATTACCATCTTATCAGTGTAAGATTGTAACCATTGCTTCTTCTGAAATCCGTTTACAAAGATAATAGTCACCCCTTTCGTGATCTG